TGAGGCAAGTCGTGAATGTGTTTGGCTAAAATCTGTGATTCAACACATACGGGAAACTTGTGGTTTATCTTCTGGAAAAATGACATCGACAGTTATATATGAAGATAATGCTGCATGTATTGCACAATTGAAAGATGGATACATAAAGGGATATAGAACAAAGCATATTCTACCAAAATTCTTTTTTACTCATGATCTTCAAAGGAATGGTGATATACATGTTCAACAAGTCCGCTCAAGTGACAACCTAGCAGATCTCTTTACAAAGTCACTTCCAAGAAAAGTTTTTGAACAGTTGATACACAAGATTGGACTCCGTCGTCTTAAAGATTGTATGCATGAGGGGGAGAAATAAATATTTATGAATGATGTACTCTTTTTCCTTCACTAGGTTTTTATCCCACAGGGTTTTTCCTAGTAAGGTTTTAACGAGGCACATTCTAAATATTGGACATCCAAGGGGGAGTGTTATGAATAATAATTAGTGGCTTAATTAGTGGATGCCAATATTCATTATCAATCATTACCATTTATATGTCCGTTATGTATTATTCCCTTTATTGTGTAATTGTTCAATTACCACATGTACTTATAAATAGGTTACTCCTCTCCCTAAGATAATACACTAGTCAGATTCTTTTCTCCATCTGATACTGTCTTGTTTCTTCTCTTTACTTTTTCTTCCTTTTATAACACTTTTAAGCTTTTAATGTATTTATTCTTTAATTTTTTATTTAGTTACTACGATTTATATTTTTATGAAGTTACATGTATTTGTTTTTGAGTCACAATTATTTTCAAGCCAAATACAATTTATGAGTAGCTAATAAATAAATCTAATTTATACTAAATTAGATAAATTGATAAGTTGAAATAATTAAGAATGAGACGAAAGATTATAGAACAAAAGAAAACATTACTTTTCATATTTATTTTTGTTTGGTAAGCTTAAAATGAAAAGGAAGAAAAATATGTTTGTGGATTCCAAGTCAAAAAGTCTTCACAAACCAGAAAGAGGAAGGAAAAGATGGTCATTTTTATAAAAAGTAAAAAATATATATACCTTTATTTATATCATGTCTCATTTTCTTATTTAAATATTATTAAGAAAAATTGCATTTGCCTCATCTGATATATGTTTAAATGGCATGCACATTCCCTCTAGTTTTTTTTTAATCTCTCTCATCTTTCTTAGAATATCATAATAAGTTAAGATGAGAAAAGAAAAAAAATAAAAGTTAATCCATATTTTGTCAGTCATATATGAGCCTATTATTGATTTCTAAATTACATACAATTCTATGTCTTCTTTATAAAAAAAATTTCATTGTTCTTCAATTTTGAAAATAATAAATTCTTTGAAATTATTTCTTGAAGTTGATATATTTTTTAAATCACAACAGGCATGATATTTAGGATATAATTTGGGGGTTAAAATTAACAAAGAGATCAAGTTTCATTCAATTGTTAGTACTTGCATTAATAATTTGTTCTATCTTAATAGTGTACAAACAGTGTTATCTTATACAAAAGGAAGTATGTGTTACTTAAATAAATAAATAAGGGAGGTTAATACTCACTTAAAAACTAAAAGGGAGGTATATGTCATTTAAAAAGACCTCTAATAGGGTCAATGCAATTTTATGAGGTTATTATATTACTTTTTTTTCACTTTCATTTATTTCATTTATCTCTTTTATTTCAATTTTTTTTTCATAGTTAAGCGTGTTTGACTTGAAATAATTTAGGGATGGGTGACTTTTTGAAAAATTTTCCAAAAGGTGTGCGAGTGAGGACAAAGCATGTTAAAAAATCTTGTGTTAGTTTATAGGGTCAATCATTGATCCTAGAGGTGGTTGGATATCTCAAAAAGGGCTACTCATGGAGGGTTTTGATTGGTGAAGGGTTTTGATAAACAAAGAGTTGTATGAAGTGTCACGATGTGAAGTGTTATGGATTAGACTTGTTAAGATGACAAATTTGAGGGGTGTTGCATGAGCCCCTTGCATAAGAGTCATGGGGCTATTCAACCACTATTTCCACACATCACCTACCTTACTATAGGTACAAAATAAATGAGATATCAATTCGAATGCTAAATTATAGAAGTGACACATTCTTTCTTGATGATCCAACCAAACATATCTATGTGACAATTTATTAATTGTTGGTAGTCCATAATGGAACAATCTCCACATAAAGATCTTTGCCTTCGGAGAGGTGTTAATGTTCCAGGTCTGTTTAAAAATATTTTTTACTTGCTCATCTTTTCTATCTGCCTAGATTGCTTATTAATTTGACCTTACAATAAAAGTTTTAGATTGTTCAAGCATTGAAATCCAAGAGTCTTGTGCCTGTTCTTGAAAAATTGTGCCTAGACATTCTTGTTGCATCCTTTCTAATTATTTCTTTTCCTAGTCAAACCAAATCTTGCGCCACTTAAACTCCCATACCCAAACATGTCACAACATTTTCCCATATTAAGAAATAGCCTAGGATATATATTTGCTAGGCAGTTAGATTCTAACCATTTATCCAAGTAGAATCTAGTTTGTCTCCCATCACCAATTTTCCACTACACCAATCATTGGAACCAATTTCCTTGATTATTCCCACCATAGGTTTTAAGTAAGTCTCTTCACCATATGAAAGCCCTTGGTATTGGCATTACCTGCACATAAACTATTCCTCCAAATATATTTAAAAGATAGTACCTTCCTCCATAATGTATCATGTTGGTGGAACTAATTCTACCTCTATTTTGCTAGGAGAGAATCATTGAAATCTACAATGTTTACATGCCTAGCCCCCCGTTGCCTTTAACTCTAGTAATCTTATCCCAATTGATCCTTGTAATTTTTTCACTTCCTTATTTGTAGCCCCACAAAAACCTTCTATAATTTTTGACAATCTACTTAACTACTTTGCCTAGAAATTTGAAGAACACTAAATACAATAGAGGTAGTGATGTCAAAGAATTAATCAAACACACTTTTTTGACCATAAACAATAATTTATGTTTTCATAGGGATAATTTTTTCTTTATCTCGTAGATAATTGACTTCCAAGTAGTCTTTAATCTTAGTTTTGTGCCAATTAGGATACCTAGGTACAAGAATGGCACATTCATGAAACTACAGTTCAACAAATATGCAAACCTTTCCACCATATTCCTCTCTATACCTACTGTCCCAAAATAGCTGTAGAAAAAATTAATTTTCAACTCTTTCAAAACATCTGTGAACACTTTTTATTATAATGATATTACTAATACACATGTCTCCCGTGAATATTATGTCATCCACGTATTGCAACATAGAAATGTCAACTTCCTCCTTACCAATCTTGAGTCCATTTAACAACCTCTTTTTGGTAGCTTCCATTATTAGTCTTGTGAGATCCTCTACAACAATGATATATAGGAAAGGGATAGTGGATCTCTTTGCCTTAACCCTTTGGACATCTTAACTTCTTCAATTAGGTTGCCATTTACCAAAATCGACACAAAAGCCAACTTCAAGCATGTTGCTATCTAATCCACCTGCTTACTACAAAATCCCAATTTGTCTAACATATAAAATAAAAAATTCCAATATATTGAGTCATATACCTTTTCGAAATCCACCTTGAAGAAAAAAACATCTCTTTTTTTCCTTTTTACCTCGTTTGTGGCCTCATTCGCCATGACTACACTATGTAGTAGATTTCTTCCTCCAAGAAACACTCTTTATTTAAGTCAATAACTGATGGTAGAACCCTCTTCAATCTAGTTGCCAATATCTTGGCCATAATTTTATACATGCATCTTACTAATGAGATAGGTCTAAAATCTCCTAGAGATAGGTCTAAAATCTCTTAGAGATTGTGGGTCCTCTACTTTAGTAATTAAGGTGATGAAGGTGGAATCGAAACACCTTAGCAGTTTCCCATTAGTAAGAATTTTCTTTTACAAATCTTATTATGTTCTCCTTTAACGTATCCCAAAATTCCTTTAAGAACTTAAAATTGAATCATCTAACCTAAGGTTCTTTAAATTACCACACTCATAAACAACAACTTTAATCTTATCTTTCTCAAACTTAGTAGTTAGCAAGCTATTATCCAATTATGAGATATATTTAAATTGCACTCCATCCAGTTTCGGTCTCTCCCATTTTTGATCATTAAATCTATCTAAAAAAACATTTAACACGATTTTCACCTCTTTTGGGTCTTCCACCCAAAATCCATCGATGGACAACACCCTTAAAACATTTTTTTTCTTCTTCTTCCAATTCACCATGAGGTGGACAAATTTGGTATTCATGTCCCTAACTTTTAACTATTTCAAGCTTGACTCTTGAGGCAAAATAATTTCATTGTTAATCACCACCTTCCAAAACTCCTATTGGAGACCACATCTTTTCTAAAAATTTTTCTCATTCTTTTCAATCAATTCTTCTTTCTTATCCAAGTCATTAAGGTCTTTCACAATTTTGCTCTATTTGTTATACATTGGATTTCAACAATCAACCATTAATTGATTTTTTTTTAATGAATATATCAAGTTTACAAATTCTTACAAAATTTAAAAATTATTTTATACTTCATTATATTCATTCAAATTAAAGCATAATATACTTTTATGAATAATTATTAATTTAAATTAAAATAAAAAGTATCAATTAATTTTTAATTTTTTTGTAAACATGATAATTTATTAAGAACTTTTAATTTAATAATTAAATTATTAAAATTTAATATAAATTATGAATTATTGAATAAAATAATTTTAAAAAAATTATTCTCTAAATAAGTGAAGCCTTACCGTTCTCAATACATACATCCATAGTACGTAGACGTACGCGCGAGTATGTAATGCACTCTGCTGTTGCAAAAAGAATCAGATTTGATCATATTCCAACAGAAAATATACAAAACAAATAATCATGAAAAGAACAAAGTCTCGTATTATATTTTGTTGTAAGAAAATATGATTATGTTACATGGTATGAGGAAAGTATCAAAAGAAATCTCATGCAAAATTTATTCCCTCTCTCGACAAGTGGTAAAGGTACAAAAATAAAGTCAGAAGCAGAGGAGAACCCAAGTCACCAACTCTTGCAGACTTTGCACCCGCGGAAGAATTTCCGTGGCAGAGACAAACAAAGGGTAAAACCGTGAAATCCTTCTCTCTCCCTCTTCCCCTTCCCTCGCATGCTCCTTTTTCCTTTCTCTCTTTGTTGTGTTGTGCTTTGTTGTAAGAGACAGAAAGAGGATAAAAGCTGTCCCCACAGTTTTTCATGGCACCACCAAGATACTCTCCTCTCTCCCTCTTTTCCCTGCCAAAGTAACCTCGTTAGGGACAAACAAAAAGCACTCTCTGAGAGAGAGTAGTAGCTGTGATAGAGAAAAGATAACAATTTTGTGGACAAAGTGATAGAGAAGGTGGAAGAGGAAAAAGGGTGTCTAATTGTGGAGTGAAACAAGGTGTGGGGTGGTGGAAGGTAAAAAAAGGTGTATAGTGAGATAGAGAGAGAGAGAGATGGTGGGCTCAGGAACATCAACAGATAGGAGCAAAGAAGCTGTTGGGATGATGGCCCTTCATGAGGCCCTCAGAAGTGTGTGTCTCAACTCAGATTGGACTTACTCTGTCTTCTGGACCATTCGTCCTCGACCGTATGCTTCTTTCTCTCTCTCTCTCTCTCTCTCTGTGTGTGTGTTTTGTTGTGTATGTTTTGTATGCTACTTAAAGTACTATTTTTTGACATGTTTGCTCAACTGGGTGTTTTCCATTTTTCTTGCAGAAGAGTGAGAGGTGGCAATGGGTGCAAAGTTGGGGATGATAACGGCAGCTTGTAAGTGTGGTTTTTCATTTCCCTCATAGAAGAGAAACAAACAAACAAACAAAAAAGGCCAATACACAACTTAGAAACACTCACCTTAAGCATGTTCTATGTCAACTCACTATCCAAAGAGTGTTTTTCTTGTGTCAACAGATGAAAAATCCTTGATGGCTCTTGTTGATTCCTACAATTGACTATGAGCATGTTTGGAAACTCTTTAGGCAGGTTTCGATTGGATCAGTGGAGTCAATAATTAGTTACTTTTGCATTAACTTTGATGTGATTCTTTCTTAAACCTGAATCATAAATCATAGATGTGAAACCAAACATGCACTAACATTAATTTTGATTAAAAATAATTTTGAAGGGACGTGATTTATGTTTGAATGTCTTTAGTAGTAAAAGAGTGTATGGTTTTTAATCTAAAAAGTAAAAGCTACTTAAAGTTGCTTTAATTTTTGAATCTAGAATTAATTTCTCTGTTCGAAGCAAAACATGTGAACCTTTTTCCTAAAGTTATGTTAGCTAGTGTTTTGGCGTGATTAGGATGATCTAATATGGATCCAAGCATGAAAGATTGTGTTTTTATTAGTTTATGATTTTGGGTATTGCTTGGATTGGTGATTTAATGTTTGTTGATTTTGATGAAGGATGTTGATGTGGGAAGATGGGTTTTGCCGCGGGAGAGTTTCAGATTGTTTGGAAGAGATTGATGGAGAGGATCCTATCAGGAAATCTTTTAGCAAAATGTCCATTCAGTTATATAATTATGGAGAAGGGTGGGTACTGGGTAGGTGTTTATTCATGTTGTTGTTATTATTATTATTATTATTATTATTATTATTATTTTATCAAGTTCTGTTTCATTTTGTCTTTCAAATGTTCTTTATTTCATGTTGGAGGGAGTTACAACTAACAAGTTACAAGCACAGTGACAATTCCTCTCTGCACTTTACTCTGATTGGGTGTTGTTTGGTTTGGGAACAGGTTGATGGGAAAGGTTACATCTGATAAGTGCCACAAATGGGTCTTCAAAGAGCCAACAGAATGTGAGCCTAATATCTCCAACTACTGGCAGAGCTCCTTTGATGCTGTATGCATTTCATCCCTCTCACATTTTATATTCATTTCCCTTAAAATTCAGAGCTTCACTACCAAGTTTAACAATGACTATTAAATTTAGCATATTCTATTGTTTATGTGTAGCTATCTTGTTATTGATTGTCTCTACCTACTCTGTGATCTTATTTATTGCAGCTTCCTCCTGAATGGATAGATCAGTTTGAGTCAGGCATTCAGGTGAGGACAGAATGGATGAATTAACACCATGCTATTATTGGTCTCAGAAAGCTTTTTTAATGTACTTTTTCAATCATTTTACTTTTATTTGCATTTGTTCCTTTTTCAGACCATCGCTGTAATTCAAGCTGGGCATGGCCTTCTGCAACTAGGTTCTTGCAAGATTGTGAGTAAATTTGTTTTCTTTTATTTCTACTCATTTTTAAGTTGTTTATTCACAATTTAAAATTAACTTTCCCTATATTTAAAGTATTCATTTTGTGTGGCTATTTATCGAACGAGAAATGTTACTAACACACTCTTTAGTTAATGGGAAATTATTATATGGTTTGTACTATCGTGTATTTATAGTCCTGATCAATCTCTACATGACATGTAATGTAATTAAGTTTTATTAACCTTTACAAATTGAAAACCTCAGCTACTTATTATTCGGAGTCAGTCGCGTTGGTGCTGAATCATTTAATAATTCCTCCTAATTAACACACTATTTGTAACTTAATTTGAATTCTTAGCTAGAATTTATTGGATTCATGCTAATTTAGATCTCTCTCTATAGTTAACTAAAATGTGTTAAAGAGTGTGATGTTAGCATTTCTCTTCGTTCAGTAGATGAATCTCTTTCACACAAACAAAAGTGTTTGATAGTTTTTCCTTCCATTATCAGATTCCTGAAGACCTCCATTTTGTGCTAAGAATGAGACACACATTTGAATCCCTAGGCTACCAATCAGGGTTCTACCTCTCCCAACTCTTCTCATCAACTAGAAGCACTTCCACTTCCACTTCCCTTCCTTCAAAGCCATGCACCATTCCAATTAGGCCACCCCCTCCACTCCTCAACTGGGGTCAGAGGCCACTTGGTACTTCTACCTCTTTGCTACCCTCTCCCACCTTTCAACATGCATCATCTAGAATGGGGTTCCCACAGGCCAAAGATGAGACACACATGTTCCTCATGCCTCATGCAACATCATCTGAGCATGCAAGATTGGGGGGAGACATCATGGGGGAGCAGCATCATGAGAATGACATAAAGTGGCCAAATGGCTTATCCATCTTCAATGCACTCACTGGAAGATCTGAGGATGCTAAACTCTTGTTCAACCAAGAGAGCCTGGGGAACAAACCAGGTGATCACAATCACCACCACTCTCTCAACACAAATCCCACTTCAGCATCAGTGCAAAGTGCTGGTGTGGCACTCCCAAATGAGTTCTTGAGCTTGGATGGCCACACTGAAGGGGCTAGGAAAGTGGACAAGTTCAAGAGGTGCTTCACTCTACCTGCTAGAGTGGCCTCATCTTCTTCTTCTACTTCAATGGATCACCATCAACAACAAGCAGGTGTGGAGTACAGGAATTCAGAAGGAGGCATGTACCAGGATGTCATGGAAACTTTTTTGGAGTGAGGGGATAATAATAAGGTAAGTTGTCAGAAGTTGTATTTAGGCATAGTTATTTGTGTTCCTTCATTTTCATGTGTTATCTTTCTACTTTGTATCCTGTGTTTTGTTTTTTTCTGTCATCTAGAGACTTTATTAATGACAATTTATTTCTTAGGTTTATTAGACATGGTAGTTTTCATCTCAAGCAATATGTGATTATTATTATTATTATTATTATTATTATTATTATTTTTAGTAAGTTACACTAACACCCTGAGAGATTTTGTGAAAATGTTTGAACACCCCTGGTTTTTTGATGTTTCCATGAATATCCTTTATAGGAGGACACGGTACAATATTTCTCAAAGGGGTTAATATAATATTTAAGTAGTGTCAAGTGTTTTTCAAACAACGAAGGGAAAATTAGTGTAGGGATAAAAAAAAAAAAGGAGTTTATCTGTAATTTGGCAAAATTTCAGGAGTGTAAGTGTAATTTATTTATTTATTTATTTCCTGGAAGGTAACATGCAACTGAATCAGTTTTTGGTCAATTAGTATAACCAAGCACACTGGATATCCAATTCACTCAATAACAATGTGTTTTTAATTTGTAGGCAAATTATGTGTTGGATTTCTATTTCTTTTCTCTCAGGACATTATATGTCTATGATTTCTTCTACCATGGTTATATTAACATTCCTTCACTATTTTTTTTAATTGATATTACGATTAATAAAGTAAAAACACCAAGACACTTCGAACATGTTATTCACGTCTTGTCTAGTAGTATTGAAGTGTCTTTCTTGTCTACCAAAATTATTTATAAAAAAATAAAAAAAATTAAGAAATGCAACTTGAATAAACTTTCCAGCACTTGCTTTTCGGCCCGATGGTTAAACGTGAATCCTACAGCAAAATTCGAAAGAAATTTATTTTTCATTTTTTTTTATTTTACTAATATATGTGCGTTTTTTTACTTTTAAAATTAATAGTAAATAATTTTGGTTGGTAGGTTTAAAATTTGAGTTTTAGTAACCTTGTCCTGTTTTCTCAACAAAATACATGACAAAAGATAAAGGTACATGTGCCCTTCAAGTGAAAAAGTTTAGGTTGCAAATTTAAACGAAATAAGGAGAGAGCTTTAGAAAGCCACGGGATTAGTTATAGAGTTAATCACTTATACATTCTCAGTGTAAAGTTTTTTTACACTGGCAACCAATTAGATCTTTTAATTGTGCCATGTCACTATAAATACATTTACTTTTAACAGTGACATAACACAATTAAAAGATTTAATTGGTTGTCAGTATAAAAAAACTTTTGATTAACTCTTAAGTATATTACACTGATAAAGTCTAAGTTTTTGGATTGTTGAGACTTGAGAGTGACTTAATACAATACTTATGATAAACTTTATATCAATTTTTAATTTGGGTTAGATTTAACTCAACTATGAAAGCTAACTTATAAAGTGGGATTCACTACAAGAATTTTATTCGGGATATAGTGAAATCAACTTATTGTTTTCGTTCTTTTTTTATACAAATCTTCAAAAGTATAAAATAAAATGAATTTTTTTTTGGTGTTCCTAGGTTCAAATCTCATCTATATTAAAACGATGTTTGATCAATAAAAATTATATCTTTTGAGTAAAAATTAATCTTTAATCGTCAATTTTAGAACATTGCATGGATTAGACATGGCAACAGGGTGAAATGGGGTGAATTTTATGTTCTCCACCTTTGTTCTTGATACTCATCAGAGATAAAATCTGGGTAGTCATCTCCATCTCCACAGAGTTTAGGTGTTCTTAAGTTCAAATCTCGTCTGTATTAAAATGATAAAAATTACATCTCTCGTCAATTTATTTAGAACACTACATGGAATATGGATTATATCCATGAAAAAAAAAACGTTTTTTCAACTGAAAAGTCTTTTAATAATTTGTAGATTTCGAGAAAGCGATTTCTTTAATATAAAACTATCGCTGTATTAAAGTAAAACTAAGCTAATGGAGAAAATATCCCATACGGTAGGCGCACGATATGACTTTGCAATGTAAAACTAAAAATTCAACGGTGCTTCCGTGAAAGAATCTGATGCAAAATTCCATTATACATTTTTTGACAACGAAAATTAAAAGCAAACGTATTTATTTGATACCGAATTTTGGGAATCACAATTTAATTCTGCATCAAGATTATTTTTTGGATTAGTGAAGGATAGTAAAAAAGAGATTTTATAAAAATTGAGAGTAATGAACAAACGTTACCATTTTGACAAACATGGGAATATATGGTACATATTACAAGTAAAATTCAGTCATCACTACTTCCTTATGAATAATATATAATATATGAAGTTACTTTGATTTTCGGGTTCTTTTTCTTAGGAAACAATCAAGCTAGACACAGTCATTTGGGATGAGGGAAAATAGAAAAAAAAAAAGAAGGTGAGTTTAAGACTAGAGATAATTTCTTTTGGCACATTATAAGTAGTATTTTAAATTATAATAAAGTTATATGAGAGATAGAGAAAGTGTGTTGTCATACTTTTTAATAAATAAAAAAATTACACTTTTAGTTTCTTGATGTATTAGTTGACATTTCTCGTCTGTTTTATGATAAACATTTTATTATTACTAGCTTTAACAAAATAATCTATAGTTAAAGATAACATGTGATGTAAAAAATTTATTAATATATTTTTTGTGTTATGTGTCTTTTTCTTTTGATAAAGAAATAAAAGAATTTCCACCAATCTAAAGAAACATTAGTGGAATTGTGACCAATGATCTGAATGATGTCTCTGAATTTTTCTATTAGTTGGGATGAGAACACAGTTTGATGCTTTCCGCCATAAATAATGGGTAGAAATGAAAGAACCTGACATTTGATTATTTGCCATATAATTCACAAAAGCATCCATTATAGTAGTAGACCCCACTGATTTTACCCTCTATAAGCTAAGTTCTTTAGGTACAGTGACAAATAAACTCAACCAATGGATAATCAAATTCCTTTGATTTTGACAAATAAACTCAACCAATGGTAAAATGTAACGGAAGATTAGATGAGATTTATGCATTTTTTCTGGTTTAATTTATGTGGTGTGATAAATAAACTACATATATATGTTCCATGCTTACATAGAGGTGCACGTGATAGTGAATTAGTGATAGGTCATGCACTGACATTCTTGTTCCCCGATATCGCAATTTAATTTTCAGCAGTGTTAAGATCTAATACCTACCACGAAATTAAGAAAGGAACTCATGAATTGATGTTGTTTTTTTTTTTTTTTTTTTTTTTTTTTTTTTTTTTT